TCTCACCATTGTTTAACAGTCCTTCTGTTCTACCCTTGATGAGATCATTCCCCAGAGAAACTTGGCTTGAATTTAAGTTCTCCTTATTAGCACTTGTCTGGACAAGTTATTTCATGAGTCTGGGCCTCAGTTTATTCATGTCATCTTCCACCCTAACTTGGTTGACCAACATCTTCTTCCAAGAAGGGGAGAACCTAGCTCTACCACTATCACCCATTGTCCTTCACCTGTTCTCCTGGAAGAAAAGGAAGGGCCCAGTATCCTCTTTTCTGATTAGAGACCACTGAAACACTCTCTCCTCACACACACACACACACACACACACACACACACACACACACACACACTAAAATAGGAGAGAGTGACCAGGTACTATAGTCCTGGACCTTGCCTTGCAACAACATTCCTTGCCTGTGAATTAATTTACTCTTCATTCATGACTACCCTTATGGTTAATAACTCTTCACCACTTGTTTCTCTCTATATATTTATATTAATCACCAGTCAGTCATGAACAAGCTATATTCAATACCTACCTCCTGTTCTCTCACCTCCCTCTCATTCATTCTCAATCTTCCCCCACCCATGTCCCTTCCAATCCAGCCACCTCTTCCATAACATTGAGTACATAATACTCAAACTCTCCTTCATCCTAGACTTCTTTCTCTCATAGTCCTTTCATCTACTAGCCCTCACTTAGACCTGGCTCCTCCCTAATGACACTGCATCCCTGGCCATTTTCTCTGACAGTGCACCTTCTCTCAACACTTAAACACAATGGTACTAGTTTCAGAATATTTCTTGCTCCCAATTGCCACTTCTAGATTCTTTCTTTACCCCCATTGCTTAGAATTGTCTCCTTTGTTCTCAATCAACTTTTCCACCCAATTAAGATCATGGTTCTTGTTGCATAGGCCCTCCTCAGTTCACTCTCCTCTCTCAAGAAATTTAGCATGTCACTTATTGTCATCCTCTCTTCCACAAATCCTACACTTATAATAAAGGATGTCAATATCCACTGTTGGTCTCTCAATTATCATTAACTAGTTCCTTGGTTTCCTCAAATTCCATGTCTTAATGTTCTAATACATTTCAACTCTACAAAGGATGTTCACACCCTGGATTCAATAATTATTCACAACTGCTCCTCCTCTTTGATTAAAAACACTAACGTTCCTCTATCCAATAACCTTCCAATTATTCTGTCTGTCCTTAAATTTTATACCTTTTAAATCCATTCTTTACTCTCATTAATACTTCCAATCTTTTCATCCCTCAATACTTTCTCAGGCCATTGTTGCAGGTCTAACTTAATTTTCTTCTCTTCACACATAATAAACAATTCAATTTTAAACTGTTTTCTATGCTACAATCTTTCACCTCCTTGATCTATTGCTGCTCATGTATTGCCAAATCTCATCTCTGTCTTACTCCTACCATCTGCTCTCTGCCCTCTTATTCACAGACTGATGAATGGAGTCAGAGAAAGTGATATTTCTGATTGGGTTATTATAATTCTGACAGTAGAAATTAGTGATATCTAATTTTAACTGGACCTTCATTATAACAAGGGAAACTTTTTACTGCTCACTAATTAATTTCTTATCTAACTCCCTACAAATTCAATTCCAAACCTTCTCTTCCCTCTCCTTGAGCTTCCTACAACTGCCTCTTCTTCTATCACTCAACTGAGGAACTCAATTCCTGCTTTCTTATGAAAAATGGGGCCTTTCAAAATAAGTTTTCTCTTTTCCCTTTCCCTTTATTTCAAAAAAACCCTTGATATTATCTGTCACTCTGTCCTCTTTTCCCTCAGCCTCTAACAAGGACAATCCTTTTACATATGTGCTTGATTCCAGCCTCTCCTGTCTTCTCAAGCAGATTGTGACCTCAATCATTCCCATCACTCTAATCTCTCCATTTATAAAAAAAATATTTTCACTAGACTATAATATCCTCTCAATGTATCGCCTTATATCTCTCCTGCTTTTCCCAGCCAAACTCCTACAAAAAGACTTCTATATTCACTGACTCCACTTCTCCTCTCATGCCTCAGTCCTTTGCAATGTGGCTTCCATCCTCTCCATTCAGCTGAAAATGTTTTCTCCAAAGTTACCAAAGATCTCTTAACTCTCGAATCTAGTAGTCTTTTTCTTAGTCATCATCCTTTGCAATCCATTTGCTGCATATATGACATATTTGCACAGACCTTCTAAATACTCTAGCCTCTCTCAGTTTTTGTGGCACTATTTTTTCTACTTTTCTTCCTACCTCAATGATCTGCTCATTCTTCATCTCCTTGGTTGGGATATCATGTGCATCATGCTGACTGACTGCTCTCCAAGGTTCTGTCTTAGCTCTATTCTCTTCTCTCTCTACATCTTCTCTTTTGGTAACCTCAAGAGCTCTCCTAAACTCAATGATGTATATGTAAATGAAGAACAAATCCATATATCTAGTCCTCTTCTCTACCCTGAATTTCAATCCCAAGTCAACTATTGCCATTAGACATTTCAAACTTGATTTCCTCAAACTCAATATCTCAAATTCAACAGGGGAATAAATGAGGCCAATATCTCAAACTCAACATGTCCAAAACTGAATCCTTTATCTTTTCCCCAAATCTCTACCCTTTCAAAATTTCTCAATTTTCATCAAAGGCACCACCATTTTTCCAGACTGCCCAGGTTGTAAACTTAGCATTTCTCTTCAAATTTTCACTTTCGATCATTCCAAATATCCAATCAGTTGACAAATATCGCCATTTCTACCTCTACAACATTTCTTGTGTCTGGCTCCTTCCCTAATACTCATATAACTAAAAACCTAGTTCAAGTCTTCATCACCTCTTGTCTATATTATTATAAGTCTCATAATTGGTCTCCCTCACTCATGCCATTCCAGTCCTACACACTTCTATCAAAGTGATCTTCCTTATCTTGCTTTCCTTTTCTTATAGATTTGCCTATTTCATTCCCCTAATCAATAAACTACAATGACTGTTTTTTCTAGGGTAAAATATACACTCCTCTGCTTAGCACTTAAAGCCTTATATGATCCAGCTTAAACCTAGCTTACATGACGTCTACCTCTCATCTCTGTACCTTTGCATAAGCCTTCCACCATGACTAGAATGCATTATTCCTCTCCACCTTATAGAATCCATTTCTTTTTTTAAGATGTAATTCAAATACAATCTTCCACATGAAGTTTTTCCTGATTCCTTCACTGTGATTAACTCCCTCCATCTCAAATTCATTGTATTTAGCTATTTTGTATCTATTCTATATGTATTTAATCCATGCACACTTGTTTATGTATTTGTTATCTCTCCTATTAGAATATAAGCACCCTGTGAGTAGGGATTATTTCATTCTTTGTATTTGCCTATCCAGTGCCTAGAAAAGCTCTTGGATCATGTAGGCACTTAATAAATTCTTGTTAATAGATGGATTGATTAATCTGTAAAACGACAGGGCTGGATTGGATCTTCTTAAGATCCCTTGCAGCTCTAAATTCTATTAACTGGCCCTCAAATTCCCTTCTTTTCAAAAGGTACAGCCAATATTACCACTACTCCAAAACACTTATAACAACTACAATGTATACTGGGAGGTGGGTGGAATGAGCCAAATTCATATCTCTTTGATCTGGAAAATGACATTTGACTCTTTTTACAGACGCTGTCAATCTCCAACCTTTGTTCAAGAAATATCATACTTTCTTGATTTTCCATCTCCTCTTCCTCTTTCTCTCAGTGTTCATTTTTGGCGTCTTGGCTACTTTTCTTCCCATTTATGGCAACTGTTCTGTAGTGTTTTGTCATTAGCTCTCCCTTTACACTAGGGCAGCAAGGTGGCATAGTGGATAGTGTGCCAGGCCTAGAGTAAGGAATAGTCATCTTCCTTATTTCAAATATTTCCCTCAGGTACTTCCTAGCTTTGTGACCCTGGGCAAGTCACTTAACTTTATTTGCCTCAGTTTCCTTATCTATAAGGAGAAGGAAATGCAAATCACTCCAGTATATTTTCCAAGACCTCAAATAGGCTCATGAAGAGTTGGACATGACTGAAATGAGTGAACACCATAACTCCCTTTAAATTACCTCCATTTTTCTTTACCCTCTTCTTTCCTTTGGCAAGCTCACTCACTATCATGGCTTCACCTATAACTGCTATAAAGATGGCTCCTCAATCAATTGTTACTTCATAAATTTGTATGCATAATAAAATTGGTAAAACTCACTATCAAGTTCAATAATACATTGGGTTAACTTCCAATATGGAAAGTTAGCTATTTATACATGACATAAATACTATCTCATAAAAAATATTGAATGTGTTCAGAAAAAAAAATTACTATTTGGCCAAGTAAACATTTTAGCAAAAAAAAAAAAAACAAATCTGAAAAAAAATCTATTCAAGTAATTTTTTTTCCAGAAAATCTATGCCTAGCTTTGTGATCTATTGCAGAAGAATGGTATATTAAAAGCTCAAGTTGAAATTGATGAATATATAAGTACATGAAAGGTATCTTTAAAATCAAGGGCTTTGGTTCTGGATTTTTATCTTCTATGTCATAGTTCTCAATTAATGAATAGGCTCTCCATCAAATATTCAATATTGCTCTGACAATGGCTGTAACAGGCCAGAGAAATTGTCTTCAGATAACTTACTGGGCCCAGCCATGTTATCAGCATACTGAAGGCTACTTGAGTGTCACTGTAAATGAAACCACTGGATTGAAATGAAAAAGGGAAGCAGCAGGCAGAAGCATTTACAAATTACATCAGGCCATTTTTGCGGTGACATCTATAGAGAAATATATGTATTGGCACTCCTACATATATCTCTACACTTATGGGATGGAAAAAGTGTTGACAGGTATCAAAGCAGACATGAGTAAACAGACATGTAAAAGCTTCACTTTGAACAAAATCAATTGATTTTCAAATCACCAGTACAGATGACAAGAAAAGAAAAAAAGTCTTTATTTTATACCTTTCTCGTTCTGGTGAATGCAAACTAGTATCTGGTCTCAAGCAGTTGGTACTAGCACTCCTAGCCCTGTCAAGGGAGGGCTGTAGTTCACTAGTGCCAGTGCATTGCATCCAATGGTAGAAGAGAAAGAAAAAAGAAAACAAAGAAAAGAATACCATGTTAGATACTAAATCATAAAAGAATGTTCTCTTCATATAAGATGTAGAATCATCATGATTCAATTAATAAAGATGTAAAAGAGCTGACTGGATGACAGTGCAAAAGTTTGTTTAGAAAATAAAACTAAACAAAGATTATGCTTGACTGTTTTGCATAATTGTTTTTTTAAAAAAAGTTTTTCAGACTGAAAATGAAAATAAACGATACCTCCTCATGGAAAATTTGCAACAGGAAGCACTAAGACAAAATGTCTACGACTTCATTACTAATAAACAATGCCACACCAAAACAAAATGAAGGACATCAGAGGAGAAATCATTTTACAACTGAACTAGAAATATTTTGGTCTACCAAATCACATTGAACTAGACATGGAAGAAGACACTTCCACTTCCTCTTACTTATCCAATATTTCATCAGAAAATCTCAATTCTTGTGCATTAAAGCAATAATCAAGAAGAGAAATACCCCATCTAACCACTGATTGGATCTTAGCACATGCAGGCAGACTGAGCTTCATAAATTAAGATTATTTAAAAAGAAAAAAATAAAATTTAGTCTTTACTCAGGAACAAAAACATGACACAAAGACAGCAAATAAATGACAGAAAAGAGGCAACTAGGATTTGGATACTTAAGTAGATTTTAATCACAGAATGATTCTAGTCAGTACTAGCTGCATATCTTTTTACTGTAATTCTGATTTAACCTGTTATATGTTTATTTTATGGATATAATTTTAATAGAGAATTTTAATGGATTATATTATAATCTTATTAGAATTTAAACTTCCTTGTTTAGAGGGCTTGTGTGAAAGAGTGGAGTCGCTGTTATGTCTCTTACCTGTAAATATTCCAATGAGTGCCATTCTCTATTAAAGGCATCTTGGATGATAAAGTTTTATAGTGTCTAACAGAATGTCTGCAATGGGGTGACACATAAACACGTAGGAAACAGAAAAATACATGTGAAGCAATTTTACTAGAGTTTTAAGAAATAATATTCATATTTTAATGTAATTTTTATGTTGTTCACACAGATGCTTTACAAATTCTTTATCTTTCCCTTCCCAACCCCATCCCTCAGGCTCCCCAAGAGTTAAGCTAAAGGCATTTGAATGTTCAAAATCAGTAATCATTGTGCTAAGACCTTAACATTAGTTTATTGTAAAGGCTTAATTGCATCACTTACTCCTTTGAATTATCAAAGATTGATTTATTAGTCAGGCTAATACATAAATTATTTTGTATTTTTAATTAATATTTAATGTCCTTTTAAACATTTTTAATAGTGTTAATACACTTATGAAAGTAAATTGCTCATTGATGAAATGGGTAATTAAAGTATTCAGATTTTCTGTGTTTAATTATCTCTTCTTGCCAAGGTAATGTCAATAAAACTTAAAAGTACTTTCCAAAGGTGAGTAGTTTACATTATTACTGGGATAGTGAGTCAGGATGATGAGAGAAATGAGCAAGGGGATAAGGTTAAAGAGGAAAGGGAAATTTACATGTGAAACCAAATTAAATAAAATATAGGCACATGTCCCTGTACAAATATGTATATATGTACATGTATACACATATGTGTATTGGTTAAAGATATATTTAAGTAAAGCATGTATTTCTTACATACATGTTGCAGATCATAAATATATACTTACTTTTATGAGCAGTATGTGTGGGCTGAAGAATGTGTGTATACATGCACATAAATATATAAACCAATAGTTTTGCTTCCTCATAGTTCTGGCAATGTAAATATGAAGGAGAAATGGAATTCTTGAAGGCTTGGGACCAACATGAGAATGTATATTTTGTTGGGATAATTTACAGTCACTGAAAAAAGATCAGTATGGTGAATAAAGGGAAAATTGTATATTGGTTGTGGTTTCCCTCCACTCACTTTTTCTTGTGTTTAATTTTTGGCCACATGTGCTTCACTGCTGTATCTTCTATAGCAGCTATGACAAAGGAGAGATGACAGTCTGATTTTCCAAATTTAACTATTTTTAAGTGCACAGTGTGTTACCATTATGTGGTATGTGCGTGTGTGTGTGTATACACACACATATAAACACTCATGCAAAAATTAGGAAATATAAAATTGTTACTGCTGATGTTTAATAGTGCATACTTGTAAACAATTTTGAAGGAAATGATTTTTTAAAAAGACAAGATGTTATGATGTAATGTAACTCAAAGCACCTTGCACTTTGAATTTACTTGCTTTTATCTTCAAATTTAGAAATGGAGGAAAAAGAGATGTAAGTATTGCATTTGGTCTGACAATACCAAATTATTAATAGCCATATCATCATTCATGTTAGAAACTTTTCTGTTTTTTCAAATACATCTTCACTATTAAAATATAAAATTCACTAATTCAAATATCATTTAGCAAAAAAGAGGACCCACTTGAGAAGATGGAATTTTTAGACTTAAACAGCTTTTCTATTTTTTTCCCACTATGCATTAAACCTTGAGTTCTTTTTAAAAATATCTCCCTATTAATGAAATAAATTTAGCTAGTATTTTTTTTTTTACTTAGAGGAGGTTAAGAGTAAAAAGTTTAAAATTTAAAGTGAAGCATCTGTGTGACTAAGCCAAGCCACCATTGGATTTTGTAATAGCTTCTTGTAAATAAGACCAATAATGTCTAGTTATAGATACATGGAGTTTTTGCATCTCTACATTCTCTCAATAAACTTTTTGGGATCTCTATTTAATGGAAATCTGTGGAGGAGGCTAGCAGGATTTGTATTATGGCTTTCACTCCAATAATTAAGTACTAGATTCTAAACTTCAGTTTAGGGGCAAACATTATTTCCCTTCTCTGAATCTCAATTTCCTCATCTTTCAATAGAGCCACAAGTGAAGGTTGAATTGTGAGACTATGAAATTTCAAAGCTGGTAGAGATGTTAGAGATGATCTCACTTGATCCGTCATCTTCCAGATGAAGAAACTGAAGTTCAAAGAGCTTAAATGGCTTGTATATCAACTCAAGAGAACAAGAGAAAAATAATGAAAAGGACAGTTCATTGGAAAACACAAAACAAAAATAGGAACATATTCTTAAATTAAATTCAAAAGCCAAGCAGCATAAAAGAGGATCATAAAGACAGAATAATATTGCCATGCATTGGATACCATTTCTCCAGTGACTAGAAAGGCAATATATCTCACAAGATTATTTAGTATGCCTTACTGCAGATGTGATAGCAATTGCATAGGGTCTTAGCAGTCTCTGGCTTTTCATTACATGGGAACCAAAACACTCTGCCTAGTAAGTTAATGGAAATATATTTGGAGCATTTTCTCCCAAGATGAAGCAGAGTTTGGAAATGTTATTTTTCTGTCTACAGTAATACTAATTAAGGTGATCAAGAGGGAGGTAAGATATAAAGAATCTAATCACAAAGAGCCATGGTTACCAAATCCCTGTATTTACCTGGTCGTATGTAGGCACTCTGCACTTCGTCCTCGTTTTGCTCTGGGCAGCATAAGAAGCTCACTGCACAGACAGGATGGAGGATGAGTGAAACAGACACAGATAATGTGGCATTAAATGACATGGGGGTATGCCAATGATATGTCAATGGAAACATAAAAAAAGGAGGGGAAGAAACCAGATAGTCTGCACTGCTATATTTGCTTGTGAATGTTAAACCAAAAGAAATAATGACAATACTTTAAAATTCAAACCATAAACTACAACTTCAGCATTCTAAGTCCTATCGACTTGTTACTTAATTTTACATCTTTTAAAATATTGTTCCCAAAAAGAAAAAATAACCATGAACATTTACTAGGATTCTGGGTTTAACTATATTAATTTAGGTGAATTATTACTTTTTACAGCACTTATAAATTTTGTCTTTGCAATAAAAAAAAATATTGGAACCCTAGGTTTCTAAAAATTCAGAACATACAAGATTTCTTTTTCTTTTGACTTCACTGCAAACTCAAAGCATTATTATACTTCTTAACAATCAACAAAATTTATTCCAGTGAATAAAAATATTTTATAATATCAAATAAAAATTTATTCAATTGAATGTGCTGGTTAATGCCATTTGCCATCTATATTAACTTAAAACCAATGTAGACCAAGTGATTTACATAATTGTGGAAAACTCTGTCATAAAAATATACAGTGCATGTTTGTATATTGTACAATGTACGAATCAGAATCTTAGAGAATCCACTAGCAATTAACCCATGTCTAGGGGTATGGTGTCACAATTTTTGAATAACAGCATATATTGGTAATGGTCTCTATTTTTTTCCATCTCAGAAAAAAGCTACTAAACATATTTCACCTGTAAAAGGAATTACAGTAATATTCAATCTTCACTTAAAGATAATTCTAAAAAATGATCTGTGGGGTAAAATCCAGCTAACTATATTACCAAATATCTTACCAGTGCATTTTTTTTTCCTAATTAAACTTCGATCAGGAAAAAGTGCATACTCAAGTAAAGTCAGAAATGCAACTGGAAAAAATAGGTAGAAACACCAATACCTTATGGTGGCCAAATTCTCATTTCATGAAGAAAGAGATTTCTCTGTAACAATGATTACTTAATTTGCAAAGATTTTGTGTTTTTTTTTATTGGTCTGCTAACATAAAAAATACAAAAAATTAAAAACACCAAACTGTCTCTAAGTAGGAGTTCACACAACACACAAGGAAGTGATTCTGGGCATCATTCAGAGTTGCAAGGCAATCCAGAAAACATTGAAAAAATTATTATACTTCTTTCTTCACTTGCCTGATAATTTAATCATAAATACCTATAACAGTTAATTATGTCTAGTTAGATCTCACCTATGAGAGCACATGCTTCCATCTCATTTCTCATATCCATTTTGGATTCATGATTTTTGCTTTTTTTTGGTCTGTTTTCTACTATAAACTTAGAGAAATACTACTCACAACAAGGAAGTAAGGATTTACCAATATTAAATAAATCCAACTTTTTTTATACTAGTAATGTCTTGCCTGAAATAATGCAGGGGAGGGGGATGATACAAATGAAGGATTATTAAAATTGGTTATTAACCCACTTCAGATATATGGACTCCAATTCTATCGGCTGGAAAAAAAAATCATAACTAGGAAGGACCATAGCCCTGAACCATCTAGCATATGTGTAATCTTTATGCTTATATACACTCTAAACATCTGGGGATACATTCAATTCCCTTCTATCCAAAAAAGGTTTAGTACCATCTCACGGGTGTACATTTTCCACAGATGTCTGAACTGAGTAGAATGGCCAAGAAGTAGCTTTAGATTTTGCCTGGCTATCATAGGGAAATGGTGAGAATCAGAAGAGCCCCTGACTCAGACAGGATGAACAGAAGCCATAAGCCCCATTTCATAGTTTCTCATAGCAAAATGGCTCATCATTTTGGTTATTTCATAACATAGCCAACTTCAAAGACATGGACTTGTTTCTCTCAATAATTTGGCAAGAAGGTGAGAAATCATATGGGGAATAATAAGGAGCTTTGTTTCTCACAGGTTTTCCTTTCTCACCGCTACAAAGGTCCAGAACCTCTTTCTTTTTCCAAAAACAAACAAAAACCCCCACCCTTCCCTATTGTAAGAAGAATATTTAACTATCTTAATAACAGAGCAAAATCAGTTTTTGAACAATATTGCAAATTCACAGCAGCTGATTTTATTTTGAATGGGAAGTAAGCCATCATATGGGGGGAAAGTACAATGAATTGGAATATGTATTTGTAATATAAGTGTTCATAACAATTTGCCTCTATAGAACTGACCACAAATTACCCTTTTAGGCATGAGAGAACCTAATTTCTTGCTTCTAAACCACTTTTATGGAAGAAAAAGGTCATTTCAAGATTGTCACAATTCAAATTTCAACATAAAGCAATTATGCAACCTTACTTTCTGACATTAGGGACAGCAACATTTTGACTTTTAATAATGACTTTTATTCCAAACAACATGTGATCCAAAAGAACAAAATGCTGGATATTGCAGGCTTAAGTTACTTCCTGAGTAACTTCCACTATTATTCATGCAAAATGAAAACCTATTTATTTTGGATTTTTTAAGCAGCAGAAACTAGAATTTTGTAGGGGTACATATTTTTTTTCTAGTTGATAACTTCATATTTAGCAGAATGTTTCTTATAAATGCTAGAAGTTCATATTCTAGAATATTCAATAGTTGAAAATATTAAGTGAAATATCTCTAATAAAAATGTGTCTTGTTGTTTCCAAGAATTGTAATCCAGACAACACTTCCACTCCCAAATGTTTAAAGAACTTAAAGATTTTTTTAGTGTTTATGAATACACGAGACCATAAAAGATAAATAAAGTACCTTTCTTGTTCTGATAAATACTGGCTATCCATGTCTCTGGATCGGAGATCAACTGGACTTCGGGAGGCATCATGGTGTCTGGTTGGAGAACGTGACCTTCTCACTTGATGAATTTCATCTAAACTCCTAAGAAATGTATAAAACATTCATATTTGTTATAGTTTTATTTTTTCTTTCATTGCTTCATTTCTTTATATTTGAATGCTTAGACTTCCCAAACAGAGAGCAGATTAAGTGAAGGAGGATGAAAACTATCAGGCATGAGGGCTAACATGCTTGTCATTGTAGTGATCTAACCACACTATCAGCTTAGCCTATACCTATTGCCTACCATATGCACAGCAAAATAAAGTGGTCCTTGATCTGAGATGATATTTTCCTGAGGTAGATACAACATAGGGAAGCTGAAAAATACAGTGGGAAGGGACTTGATCTTGGAATCTTGGTCCTTGGTTTGAATCCTGCCTTTGCTATTTATTTCCTGTGTAGCTTTGGGCAACCCATCTAACTTTCTGGACCCTACTTCCTTTGTTTGTCACATAAAAAAGATTAGGATAGGTTATCTCTGAGTTCCCTTTCAGTACTGTATCTATAATTCTTTGGTCCCAAGTATAACATAGGATAGAGAATGAAAGGGCCAGATTACAGATGAGTAATATGTTTTATTTTGTTTTCCAAAATAGAATGTAAGCTTCTTGAAAATAGTATTTTCTTTATGTTGCAGTGAAAAGTTGATGATTGGTTCATTCTTCAACCCTGCTGGAAAATGTTTTCAATTAAATCTAAACAAAAACGTGATATAACGTTTGAAGCTCACATCTGAAGGCTAGTTTGCCACTAATCTACAGAGAAGCAAAATAATGGCATTTTGGAATTAGAAGAAATGAAGCCGTATTCTATTATACATAAATCTATATGTATATCTATGTGCCTGTATGTGTGTTTATATATTATATACGTATATGTACATGTATATATGTATATATGTGTATGTGTATATATATATGTGTATATATATATGTATATATATATATATATATATATAGTTTTACTATTATAGGCCTCTTAATGTTTCAAAGTGTTAATTCTAAATGAAACCTTCCAAAAGTTTTAATAATTACAAATTTACCTTATACCAAGCCTCCTCATTGCTCTCCATCATTACCACATGCCCCCTCAGAGTTGGAAGCGAAACCAGCAAACAGAATGCATCACATATTTATTTCAACTATGGTGCTTTGGCCATAAATTTCTTTCCCTTTTAGGAAACTTTAGTTCCCTGATGAGCATTTCAGAGTCTAGGGCATAAATGAACACCACCATCATCTATAAACTACTTAGCAACTTTTGGCTACTGTCCCTGATTTAACAAACCATTATTTCTTCTTATTTTACATCTTGGACTAATATCATCCTATATGTAAAAGCCATTCTTGGCACCCACAATTTTGTTGTCATAGACCCAGACCCTTGACAAATCTTACCTCTGTAATGGCACATTTGGTAACCGGGAACGGGGCCTGCCCTGATCGTTGCCACGGTGAGGAGATACAGATCGGGAGCGGTGATGAGCTGTTCTTTGCTGTTCTGGCACAGTTAAAGTTGTAGATTTGCTTTCTCTAGCATTTGACCTATAACCTACTGGCAAAAATGCAACAGAAGTGAGTCAATCACATTCCATGGGGACAAATAAGAGCTTGGAAGACAATCTCTTGAAGAAGTTTTTGCAAGATCTAGAACAGCCACTAACCTACTAAAGAGTGTCAGGAGCCATGCAATCAGAACTAATTATTAGCATAATCTTCAAATGTTAATAAGTATACGTACACATAGTGTAACATATACATGCATTAGAACAGACTAAGGCTAAGGTAAGGGGTACAATGGAGGAACAGAACATAAATATGACGGTTTAAACTTCAGACATGATATACAGGCTGGGGATAGTTGTGTTGCTCCCACCTCATTTAATCTATGGGATTTTTATCAATTGTTAGAAACCATGGAAAACTAGTCACTGCACTAATTAATCCTTAGGAAGTTCTTCCCTTTGATTTAATGCAATTTTAAGTATCTAAAGAGAACATTCCTATACAAGATGGTAAATTGATCTTAGTTGGACCTTTGAAAATAGACTCCCTAACTCGTATGATAGAAAAAAAAAATTGTCCAAGCAACAGAAAACACTGTAGGTAATTATGGACACCTAATTTGATGGTGAACTCTGATCTTTATTCCAAACATTTTTTTTTGTAAGCCATAGCTCAATTTGTGTATTTCCATTGTAACTGGTCAATTCTTGAAGGACTTGGGCGGGAGAATTTTTAATCCAATTAACAAACTATAAGGTCTAATGGAAGACAATAGAACTATCCCATAATGATTTGTGTCATAACACAAATAGTAGGAAAAAAAAACAAAAGAAAAAGCTACTTCTTCCTTGTGCTTAGTAAGGTAGTTTTAACTTTTTTGACTTGTTCAAGATAAGAAGATAATATTACAACTATTTGTGACACTTTAGAGTAGATTAAAGGACCTTTCATACAGTTTTTTTCTGTTACAGGGACAATATAAAATTTAATGACATATAAATGCACTTCTACATATTTAAATGTATATCTTTGAAATATATCTAATATGAAGAGCTTTGGGAAGCTCAGGTCTGTTCTTTTATTTACTTAGTCTTTCAAATTCAGTGTTAGACTCTTACAAAGTATTATTTACAAAGACAGAATGCTATTATTCCACCACAGTTGATCTTACTTATCTCTATCATACTTATTATAGAAATCCAATAGCAACATCATCTAAAAATAAGTCCATGAGATAGCACTTGCCACTTTTAATAGATATCCCTTTTTGTCACTCTATGAGACATTATTTACAACATAACATGATAACTATAGCATGAGCTGAAGTTGTTAAAGTTTTTACTCAGTAATATAAGTCCTGCAATAAAAAACTACCACCAAGAGCTATTATTTTCATAGTTTTGTGCATGGGGAAAAAGGTAATGAAAGCTATCAGTGTTGGATTCTACAATTTATTTAGGAAAATGCTGTAGCTGCCATTTACAGGGAGGAAAAGCAAAATTCTCTTCTGACTTTGTATCCTGCCAAGTTAATTCATTTGTCACTAAAAAAGTGCTTGTTTTAAAACCCTTGTGTTTCCTTGATCTTATGCAACATGAAACACAATGGAATCATCTCACAGACAGAAGGATTTTAATAGAAGGATGGAGTGTAAAATGCTGACTGAATGACTAGGAAACTTGATTGGAATATTACTAGTGACACTGGACTGGGAGTATCACTTCAGGTATATTAATGAATACTCATAGGGTTCTTCTTTTGAACTTGTAAAATCATTTATTATACTTAATTATGTTTTTAAATTAATGTTCTTCATGACTTGCACGCAGCCAGCTCAACATATCACTACACCCTAGATGCTAAGATGGAAGACTCTGGGACCCTAATGCCTTCTATAGGAAATAGCCAGGTTTTGGTTGGTACAGTCTGACTGTGGCTAAAGAAACATCCCAGAGCAATGAAATTATAGGGTAAGAACTTCAGAGTAAAGTTCCAAATGTTAGGGGCAAAGAAGCCCAGATGGGCACATTCCAAGTAAGAGACTAACAAGCCTCCCCAGGTCAGGGGGCTGAAGGTTTTATGCACAGTTTCATAAAAGAAATATTGGATAAGTGATATAAAACTACTTGGTATTAAGAGGGCAATCTTCAATCAAAGAATACCCATCACCTTACGGACATTGTACATTTTCTTATCATCTTTATTAATTAGCAGGGCACAAATTTCAATGTCATAGGGAAGCAAGTATATATATATATATATATATATATATATATATATATATATATATATATGTGTGTGTGTGTAAACATATATATATATGTATATATATACATAAGCATATATATATATATATATTCTCTGTTGTAATGGCTAAAATAGATATGACTAGTATCATGATTTTAAGTGTTGCTGTTATGAAAGTTTTTTCCAATATCTTGTCTCATGCCAAAAGGACACAGGTTAACACAGCTCATAAATTGTCTAAAGGCAAGAAGCTCATGATACAGGAAAAAATAATTTAGTGAGGTAGGTTTTTCATATTTTATATAATTCTTTATTATCTGTGAAGTAAATGAGAGATAATTTACTGGATTTTGCTTTCTAATATTTACCTAATTCTTCAGATTCTAAATCTAGAATAAATATATCATTTACATGCATTACTCAGGTAGTAAGGCTTTCTACAGAAGTAGATTTTTTTTTTGTTTTGTTTTAGGCAATGGGGTTAAGTGACTTGCCCAAGGTCACACAGCTAGTAAGTGTTATGTGTCTGAGCTGTATTTGAATTCAGGTCCTCCTGAATCCAGGGCCAGTGCTCTATCCACTGTGCTGCCTAGCTGCCCCCACAGAAGTAGACCTTGTAGGTTGCAGAAGCTTAGTCCTTTAAAAATTGAAATTCTGGAGGTTGATGAAAATAGTCATATGTTCTCAGTCATTTTAAACAAGGTTGACTAAACAAAATGTATTCTATTCTGAGTCAACATTATGACCATCATGCATGATGTACTTTTTATGATATCCTGATGACCTAATTGGATATTGAGATGAGTAGAAGTATTTCTCTCAGACCTTATGTTAAATGATATAAGAAGGTTGGGCTTTTGTAACTTTTTGGATTTCTCATTTTTTTAATGTTACAGGCCTTTGTGTACCCTCTTATACTCATAATTGTAGAGTGAGACGAGACCTCAGAGGCCATGTAATTCTATCCCCTCATTTTACAAGTGATTGGAAATTAAGCCCATGGAAGTAAAGAAATTTGTGCAAGGCCACACAGGTACTAAATGTCAAAGATGAGATTTGAACCCAAGTCTTACAATTCTAGAATTAGTGTTCTTTCCACTACAACATCATGCTTTCCTCAGAACCCAATACTCATTCTTCAGTTATCACTTTTGAATACTCTGCTTCCAATCTATTGTTCTGTGTCACTCAATCAACCTCTTTAAAGCAATATAACTTTAGGAGATAACACAAAATGATAATATTGAACAGGCTCTAAACTGAAGTTCTAGGGGGTATTTCTATGCTTCTTCGACGGAGTATGAATTTTATATCAGCATTTCCCCCTTTTTACTTGTTTTTATTTTTTAATTCTTCTGTGTTTGAAGATCTATTTTGGACAACTGAGGGCACTAGAAACTGAACTCCAGATAAATGGAATACCAGATTTATCTTTTATATTTTCAAGAATTTTAAATAAACATTGAAAGGACTAGTACAGATGTTCAACCAAATAAACTGTCTTCACATTAGAAGAGTGAAAAATTTAATTCATGTATATTGGCTAAAGCTTTTCTTTCTCAATGAAAGTCTGGGTAAAAATTTAAACTAATCTATTTTCAGGTGTGGGGGGGTCAGGTTGGAGACAGGAGACCTAAGCAGCAAATTGAAAGGGGAGGAGGAGGGATTTGGATAATATCAGGATCCACTGACCCTAGGCTTCTATGCTTCATTTATGAGCAGGACCCAGGGAAGATCAGTGGGACTGTCGGTCAGAATCACAGCCAAAGGGCAAAGCAGAAGAAGATACAATGCTGAGAGAAGTGTGAAAGTCTTAGGTTTCCAGGGCAGTTAGGTGGTACATCAGATAGAGTGCCAGGCCTAAAGTTGGGAAGACTCAAATGAGTTCAAATCTGGCCTCAAAAACTTACTAGCTGTTTGACTCTGGGCAAGACACTTAACTCTGTTTGCCTTAATTTCCCCATCTGTAAAATGATCTGGAGGAGGAAATGGCAAGCCACTCCATTCTCTTTGCCAAGAAAACCCCAAATGGGGTCAGAAAGAGTCAGGTATTACTGAAATAACTGAACAACAACAATAACAACATGGACTCTAGGGAGGATGTGGGGTAGGAGCATGATGCCAGTCTAGAGCAGTCCAAGGAAGATATATCTTCATTACTAAGAGCAAAGTCACAATTACAGATAAGAGATTTGCCACAAGCAAACTAAAATTAGTAGAGAAATGAATGAGTAAAAAAGTAGAAGACAGCCCAGGAGCTGCAGCTTCAAGACTTTCAGAAGAGTTAAGAGAGATGTGTAATACAACAATCCCAGACAACTCTGAAGGACTTATGATGAAAAACGCTTTCCATCACCAGAGAAAGAAGTGATGGTGTTTGAATATAGATTGAAGCATACTTTTTTTTAACTTTCTATATTTTTCTTGAGTTTTTTTTTGTCTATGTTTTCTTTCAGAGCATGACTATTATGGATATGTTTTGCATGACTACATATGTATAACCTATATTGAATTGCTTTGCCTTTTCAATGAGGGGGGATGGGAAGGGAGGAAGGGAGAGAATTTGGAAATCAAAGTTTTGAAAACAGATGTTAAAAATTGTTTTTACATGTAACTGGGAAAAAATTAAGTGCTAAACAAATGTGAAAAAGTAAAATATAAAAAAGAGTTAAGAGAAATGAGTGTCAGTTCAGGGTAGAAAGTTTAGGAGATGCTTTGGCTCCCCCCCAACTCCCGCTCTGTCAAATTCATGTATTTCAATCAAAGTCACCATCATTCTTCCAGATTACCAGGTTTGTAACTTCAACATTATCTCCCACTCCTGACTCTCTTTCAGCCTGCATATCCAATCAGTTGTCAAATCTTTCTATTTCCACTTCTACAACACCTCTCACCCAACCCCCTCTTTATACACATACAACTACCATCTTAATAAAGGCTCTTATCTTCTCCTGTCCAAATGATTACAATAGCTTCCTAATTGGTATCTCTGACTGAAATTTCTTACCACTGTAATCCATTCCATATGCTGCTACTAAAGCGATCTTTCTTGAGTCAACATCTGATCATGTCTATGCCCTACTCATTAAATTCTAGTGGTTCCCTGTTGATTTCACGCACACACACACGCACACACACACACACACACACACACACACACACACACACATATAGCTTGAATTTTAAAGTCCTTCAAACCTAGCCCAAATCTAGCTTTGCAACCTCAGTTTATACTAATACCCCTTTTAGCACATTATAATCCACCTAAACTTGTCATCTCCATATTCCACAAGTCATTCCATTTCTTATCTCTTTTCCTTTGCACTAGCTGTCTCATGCCTAGAATGCACTTTATTCTCTCTGCTTCATATAGGCTTTTGCATTAAGACACAATTCAAGTGGATGCGGAGGGTTTCTGAGAAGACACTTTACTTGGTAACCTGTGTAAAATCAATGATGTAAATATGTTACCCAAAATAAGGAGCTTAATAAATGTTTACTGATTGATTTTTATAGTTCAAAAAGATCTTAGCCATAGTCCTTATAGAGGAAATATCAAAAATAATTATTTTTATGATTAGGAATTTCATTATTAATAAACTGCATATTCAGTTTAAAAAGACACAGTTCAAGTACCACCTTAACAAAGTCCTTCCTGATCCTTCTAACTGCTAGTGCCTTTCCTCTCAAACTATTTTGTATGTAACTACTGCGCATGCATTTTTTTTTTGGCTAGACAATGGGGTTAAGTGACTTGCCCAGGGTCACACAGCTAGGAAGTATTATGTGTCTGAGGCCGGATTTGAGCTCAGGTCCTCCTGAATCCAGGGCCGGTGCTCTATCCACTGCACCAGCTAGCTGCCCCTGTGTATACATTTTTAATTCTTAATTTTCTGTTTATGTTAAATACATTTTATATGTATTTATTTTTTCCATTATAATATGATCTCTTTGGGATTCAGTAAAACTGGCCAGATATTTAGTCCAGATATGATAAGGGAGTTGATTTCTGGACTAAAATCTGAAGAGGAATCATTTAGGAAAGGAGAATTTAGAAATTATATGGACACATTTCCTGAAATATGTATATACAGAAAAAGGATGTAATTTTAGAATTCTGTAACTTTTAAGTTTTCCCATTAAATTGTTGTTACTGATCTACCATATTCACACACACACACACACAATTTCCCTGAAGTGGAAGTAGTAATATTCTTAATAAAGACATAGAGGAAAAGAAAAAGAAAAAGAAAGGAAAAAGACTTTTTTCTCAGTTTGTATGATAAGCTATGTGGGATAGTGAGAAGAGGTAAAAATAGCAGTGAAAAGAAAGTGAAAAGAAAGATCTAACCGTAGTGGTGGAAAACCAGTGAAATAAATTTTGGACCTTATAGGATGAAAAGAGAGAAACAGCACTAAGTCTCAGAGTTGTATGGCCCATGAGTAAAAAAATATAGTTAATGTTAGTAAACTAAAGAACAAAACTTTGTGTAGTCTTGGCCGTCATGCTATTGGTGGTGGTGGTGGTGAGGAGGAAGGACAAGAGATGATATAACTAAATTTCAGGTAATGAAAATGACATTTCAATTCAGGCTTTCTTTAAAGCATAAGCAAGAATGTCATATAGCATATTTGTTTGATTTCAGACCTGTGATTTAATTGAAGTACAGAACTCTGAATAAGAAAACTATCCCCTACCCCCATCAACGCAGATTAGTACTGCTCTGCCCCATGGAAGTTGCCTATGTTATAAAACATTAAATGACTCACTAAAGCCACATAGTCAGTATGTGTTGGGGATGGGACTTGAACCCAGGTCTTCCTAACTCTGATCTATCTCTCTATCCATGATATCATACTTTCAAAACACTGGCTAAATCTATTTCATGGATGATCTATGCATGACCCATGCAATCTTGAGAGACCTCCAATGCTACGTATGGTTTATAAACTTTTTTATTAATGTTATCAGTCATTAAATTTATCTCTTTATACAATACTTTTAAACATAAATATAAATATCTATTTTCTTCCACCCTTTCGTGCTCTCTCTGTCTCTGTCTCTCCATTTGTATCGTTTTAATACCTATATGAGAAACCATGGTCCTTGGTAGAAAACCATTGTTAGATTGGGTTTAAGTATTCTCATCATTACAGTGAAAAAGTAAAAAAAAAAAACTACATGTGGACACAATATGACACAGAAGAAAAAGAACACTGACTCTGGAGGTAGAGGACTTTGTGTTGTCTCCCCCTGAAAATCTGGGCCCCTTGAGAGCAGTGGTCATCTTACCCTTATTTGTATACCCATCTCTTAGCAAGTAATTGATTAATGAATGCTCCTGAATTCCATTCTGTTCTATGCCATGTGATCACTAAGCTCCCTTCCATTTAAGAAATTCTCTGATTCTAATCTCTTCTGTATTTGGGGGCAGGCAGTATGGTGCAGTGGAAAGAACACTGATCTGCAGTCAAAGGACTTGTATTCACATCCCAGTTCTCACCTTTGCTACCGGTGTGACCTTGAGCAATTCCAAGTTAAAATAAGGAAGTTGGAATAGATGGCCTCTGGGATCCTTTTAGGCCCTAACTATGATACTAGATTCTTATTCCCTCACGTAGAGAAAAATTACATGTTTCTCATAAGTGTAACAAGTTAATTATTAACGATGGTGGAATTTTTTTATATTTTGCATTTTGCTAGGTAGAACTGTCTAGAAATATTTTTCATGCTAAGGATGAATTCCTTCTCTGAACTTATCTGAATTGAGGAGGAAATCATAGCAATAACAATACCAATAATACCTTGTTGACTCATCTTACTTAATATGTATCCAGGCACTTAAAAATCAACAACTTCATGTTTAGCATAATATTTTCTGCTTAAAAATGAAATCCATAGAATCTTGCCCAAGAGACAGAATAATTGAAATTATTCTTTTTTTCTAACTTATTTACTTTTACCTTTAACTTTTGGACTCTAATTTTAGCTCTAACTTTTAATACCAAATAATCAAATATTTAAAAAAAGCATTGTAACCATGTATCCTTTGTAATACCACAAATATTTTACTAATTGATTCTAATGTTTAGAAATACATTGATAAAATTAATGCTGATGCATTTTTCTGTTTTTTATAGATATCTACACACTCAGGGTAATGATAATGAATGCATCACATAGGCATAAAAGATATAGCCATGCCACATGCAATTTTAACTACTACCATGCATATTTTTCAGTATATTCCATGGAAGGCTGTATTACATTCAGAAGCCTAGGAAGGAAAATCATAAAAATGCCATACAATACAAATGAGAATGGAATTTTTATCGGTAAAATGAACTGTATTCTTTGAAATAAAATTCATCTTTTCATTTATGCTTAGAGCATTGTGAAGTAATTTAACTGACCTCATTCATCTTATTTCTAGGCAATAAACTGATGGAAGTGAATAAATGGAAATGTTAATTACTAAATGTCTGTCCATTTTCAACTGCCTAGGTAATTTAGAAGAAAAGTTGCCATGGAATAACTAATACTGATTTCTCTAGAATACTATATGTCCAAATCAGCACTGGGGAGGATCCTGGGTTACTAGGAGAATAAGCCAAAGCACAAAGAAGCAGGGACATGCTCTGCACCCACGCACCTGGAGGAACTACTCCAATACCATCATCAACCTCATAATCTGAGATGTCACTATCAATGATTCGCTGAGATCCTGCACAACAGTAAGGCAAATACATACCTATGTATCTGGTTGACTTGTAAAATATAAAGGAAATGATCAGATTTTTTTAATCCAATGACAATGCTATGGGAGTATTTAGAACAATACAGGATAAATATTTGATTGATTCACAATCTGGTACCAGGCCATACCCAAGTCTTCTTATTGCTTATCATACATGATACCCTGAGGGTCATCATGAGATTCCTGATATTCTTGTGCTCATCATACCCATTGAAGTGGTTCCCATATGGTAGGGAGGTAGAGAAAGGGGTTTCTTTTGTTTTGTTTTGTTTATTTATTTATTTACATGTAACTCCTTGAAGTTTGTACTTTTTTTTTCAATTGACACGCCACACCAGAAAAAAGATGACAGCAGTATCCACGATACTCTTTCTTCAAGACTCAGCCCAAAGCCTGCTTTCTGAAGGAATCCTTTCCTTCCAACTGCTAATGCTTTCCTCTTTTATATTTCCTTCATGTATTCTGTATATATTATGTATACCTCTAGTTATTTGCATGTCTTTCACATTTAAAATGTGTATGATCCCTCACTGCGGGGATTGTTTTTTACTTCATGCATCTATCTCCATTGCCTAACACAATGCCTGGCACATAATAAGAACTTTATAAATGCTTGTTGACTGACTGACTCCATAACACAGTTTTTTTTAAACTAGAAAATTTTTATAATTATGCTCTAATAGGTGGTCAGGAAATTTTATAGAGTAATTGAAGAAATGAAAAGATCTTTCCGTATATAGCAGTAACTTCAGGATATTTTATTTTGTTTTATTTTCTGTTCTAGACATGTGATTTCGTTGGTGTAGGGAATTCTTAGCCTGGAAATTCCCCCCATTAATACAATGCAATAATTTGTTTATAACTTAAGAGCCTTAAAGAGTTGTCTGAAGTGTATGCTTTCCTATGGTCATGTACCTAGTAACAGTTTGAGGCAGAACTTTCATTAAGTTCCTGACTTCAAGGCTAGCAGTGTGGTATAATGGAAAGAATGGCAGATTTGGAATCAGAAGACCTGAGTTCAAATCCAAGCTCTTCCACTTACTACCTACATGACCTTGGGCAAATCACTTAACTTTTTAAAAATGAAGGATTATACTGCATAGCCTCTGAGGCCTTCTACAATTCTAAATTTGTGGTCTTCTAGTTGTCTATTCATGAGACAATACTGTCGTCAAGAAATAATTATCCTGGGTAAAATGAAAAAGGAAAACCAAACTCTGTGTAAAAACAATGGAGATTCATATTTTCAAGAGTAACTTCCTTGTGACTATGAAGATATTAAAACATATCATGATGTATAGTGTAACATACTGGATAGAATGCTGGAGTCAGGAGCAACTTATTTCAAATCCTACCTCTGATATATGCTATCCATGTGATCTTACAGAAGTTACTTAGTCTTCCTCAAGTTCAATTTTCTCCTCCATAAAATGTGAATAGTAATAGGATTTATTAGATAAGGTTCTTACCAAACTTACATGATATAACATATATAAAGGGTTAAATAAGTATCAACTATTATTGTTAAAATTGATAACTGCATATATTCATACAAATAAAGATGAGCATTTTGATGTACTTAAAACAAAATTTTTCCCTTAAGGTCTCTCACAAATCTACTTGTCCCACTAATTTTTGAAATATTTACACAGCCTCTAAGCTAAACTTACTTTACAAAAACATGACTCAAACATCTAAATTTTTATTATCGAATATACTTTTAACTGACATATTAAGATATATAGGAAGGCATAGAACTAAAGTTATTAAAAATAAATATATGACTATTAAAAAAAAACACAATTAAGGGCCTGCCATACAACCAGTACAGTGCACAGTATAACATTATGCAATTAAAAAAAAAACAATTCTTGGTACTACTTAACTCTCACAGGTATAAAATTTGTTTGATATGATTAAATAAGGTCTCCATTAAGTATCCAGGAAGATGTATATAAATATTAGATAGATAAATAGATCAATAGATAGTAGATAGAAAGACAGAAAATGATAAAAAAAAACACTTGGGGAATCTTGATATAATTGCACTCTAACCTTAATTATATAGTGTGACAATTTTTTCTAATGCTGTTATCTCTTTTAAAACTCTAGAAACAAAAATCTACTCTTATAGTTACAACTGACCTCCCTCAGAATCATTTCACCATTTCCAGACTACAGCCAATATTTTTGCTAAATGGTAACATACAAAGATCTCAGGCTTACTTTGTAATTTTTTGCTAGAGCTTTCTCCATGAATGTGTCTCCTTGGCATGAAAGGTGATGGCTGAGGCAGAGGTAGCGAAGATTCATCGTGTGTCTGCAATTTATACCAATGTGGTTCATCATCTAGCAGGGCTGTCTCCAGCTCTATGAGGATCTAGAGAAACAGTTTTCAAGTTAAATCTGGAGGCAGTCCCAATGTTAACTCTCAAATTTGTACAATTTACATTCGGAGATACTTTATTTAGCATTTAAAAGGAAAGCCCTCAAATCTTCATAGCATACATCACCTCTCCAAGAAATTCACTTTCTTCTTCTTGCACTCTTGGTTGATCCCACACAGTTATTTCTAACATTCGTTCTCTAAAATCTCTACGGTGCACATGTGAATAGAGAAATGTTTGGTTCCATTTCGGGTCTAGGACTTTCTTTACTGTTTTGGTCCTCCTTTTACTTTTATCACTGAAAAATAAATATTCTTATAAATTTTTCCAATTAAGCTCTTACTTTTTGTGAAAAGAAATGTATTTTTTCTCTCTCCCATCCTCATACAAATTATGGAGGAAAAAAGGATATAAAAAACAATTTCCTTGTAACAAATACACATAGTTAAACAAAACAAATTCTCCCACTGCTCATCCCCCCTCTCCAAAAATGCACCTCCTTCTGCACCCTGAATCCATCACTTCTATGTCAGGAGGTAGATATCATGCTTATAAATTATAATGGAATAGAGGCACATGGTATTACTATATCTGCACAAGCTATGATTATCATTTTCAATATTGTTTATATAAATTGCCTGTATCCTAAGGGAGCTAAAATAATTTCTTATATTCTAGTTCAACTCTAATTAAGCAAGAACTATCCATTACACCTTTTTGGTTATACTTACATTCTAACTATTTTACCAATATAAAAGTCTGAGAAATTAAAATTTTGATTAAGCTGTCTGGGGACATTAAAACTAAGTATTTAGAAAATATGGAAATACACAATTTACAAGAACCATAGGGAAGTCATCTCATTTATCAACAACTTGATCTTTATCTAACTTATGTTTTGAAAGTTTTAGAAAAAAAGTGTTTTGTGTTCCCTTGGTAAAATTCTACAATGCTTTCTCCCCAAAAGAATCATTACCTTCTATCTGGAAGAAAGTACATTTTCACATAAGGATTCCTGGGTCGTCCATCCACTCGAGGGGGTAGATCTCTTGCCTGAAGAACGTTTACAATAAGTTGATGACCAACTTTGTCATACCACAGCTTCACCTATGGGATAATCAGGAAGGTATTAACTGTTCAAATCTAATGATGAACTGGCATTAGTACAAAGCGAAGTCAAAACTGAAAATCGAAATTACTACTAAGTACAATGTCTGGACCATAGTAAGCACTTAATAAATGCTTTTTAGTTGATTTTTCTGGAGGTGAGTCAAGCAATTTCTCAGCAAATAATTCCATGACAAACAAAATCTAGCTGCTAAGAAATAATATGCCATCTTGGTAGAATAAAACTAGGTATTTTTAGTTTTTACCTTAAATTTAAAAAAAAGGCTCTTACTCCTGTCACTCTTACAGTGTTGTTTCTTCAAATGTATGCTTGTATCTTTAATTAGCCCCCCAAAAAGCATTTTTAAAATCATGTTTTGTTGTTTTGAGTGCTGACAATCCTATTTGTGGTGTAGAGAAATTTAAAAAAATTGAAGTGAGCCAAAGTGTTGATAACAACATAGGGTCAAAAAGAAGTTAATCAATAATAAAACATGGAATGTTAGCCTCAGAGCTTATGTGGCTTTTTTCTCTTTAAAATTTAGATGTAGAAGTGTCAGTGAACCTTGAGGATCCAAAAGGAAAATAGCAATCAGAATAAATAAACAAATAAATAAATAAGTGAATGAAGAAAGAAAGAAAGAAAGAAAGAAAGAAAGAAAGAAAGAAAGAAAGAAAGAAAGAAAGAAAGAAAGAAAGAAAGAAAGAAATAGAGATTCAATCTATTTCCATATGGGGATTAAAACTCAGGCAATTATATGAAAAGGTGATAAATATTTAGCAATCATAGGAAAGACATGAGAAGCAAAATTCAACCTGCAGAAATCTACATCTCTCCTCCCATATGATCTTTTATAGAATATTAGCTCCTTGAGGGAAGAAACTTTTAATTTTTATTTGTATCCCTAGCACCTAGGACAGTGCCTGGTATCTAGCAGGTACTTAATATATACTTGTTGATTGATTGAACTGCTTAGACTTTGTCCATAGGGTCACAGGTTTAAAGATGGAACAAGGCCTTGGAAGCCACCAATCACTTTTTTTTTTTTTTAACAAATCAGTTAAACTTAGTGCAAGAGATATAAAGTGACTTGCCCAAAGTCATGTTGGAATCAAGTAGATGAGCTTGGAGTTGAATCCAGGTTTTAATATTCCAGAGTCAGCACTTTTCACTGCATCAATATCTCAATTTTGATGCTTATGGAATGTTTCTCCTTCTTTGGATATGATTTACTTGTGTATTTAGCTCCATGCAAACATGATGCATGGCAAAACTATATAGTTCTACCCTGATAGACTGTAGTGGGGTTTTGTGGTATTAGAGTGAGGTTTGCTTACATTACTTACTGGGAGCCCTTCCAACTCTAAAATCCTATGGTTGTTTGAACTGCTTTGCTGGAAAATTGTCTGCATCTAGGTAATATTATGCAGAATATTCTTTTACATGCTTTTTATCTTTCTATACTAAGTCTTCTAAGCTCTATGAAGGAAAGGATATTTTATTGTAGGTCAACTGTCAATTGAGAAGTATTTATTAAGCACCTATTAAATGCTAGACATTGTGCTAAACTCTGGAGATACAAGGAAAGGTTAAAGATAGTCCCTGCTCCCAAGGAGTTCATAGTGTAATGGGGGAGGCCTCAAGTAAACAACTATGTACACAGAAAATATAGACAAGATGAATTGGAAATGATCAACAGAAGGAAGGCACTAGAATTAAAGGGGATCAAGAAAGGTTTCTTGTGGGAAGTAAAATTTTAGTTAGTACTTGAAGGAAGTCATGGATCCAAGAGGTAGAAATGAGGAAGGAAAGAATTCTAGGCATGGAGGAAAGCCAGTAAAAATACAGTGAGTCAGAAGTCAGTTAATGAAAAAAAAATGTATTAAGTGCCTGCTATGTGCAGGCAATATGCTAAACCCTGAGGATATCAAGAAAGGCAAAAGACAGTCACTGCACTCAAGAAACTCACATTCTAATGGCAGAAGACAGCACATAAAAAGAAACTGAAAATCTATGGGACTGGAGAGAAGGAAGGCTATCTGGTGTGAGGCAGGAGAGGGCATGATAATGTCCAGGAGTGAATGTGGACGGAGATTGATAAGATGTCTGCTCTGAGCCCTCTCCTTAAATTCTAGGAAGAGATGGATTGTATTATGCAAGAAACAATAAGGAGGTAAGTGTCCCTGGATGGTAAAATACATAGGTGTGAATAAGGTGTATGAAAACTGGAAAAGTAAAAGAAGGCCAGGTTATGAAGGGTTTACAAGGCAAACACAGGATTTTATATTTGATCTTATAGGTGACAGGGAGACATTTGAGTTTATTGAATAAGGTGGGGGGGCAAATAGTCAGACTCATACTCTAGGAAGATGAACTTAATGAACTGATAAGATCACCAAGAAAAATAATATAGAAGGAGAAGAAAATGGCCCAGTAAAAATAGGATAGAGTTGTGTCACTGAAAACTAGAATTTATCAAGGAAAAGACAGTGTCAAAAGCTGCCTAGAGGTCAAGAAGCATAATGATTGTGAAGAGTCAATTAGATTAGGCAATTAAAAATAGTAGTAAAAGAAGAAGTGGTGGTGGTGGTGGTGGTGGTGGTAGTAGTAGTTAACATTTATATAGCTCTTACTGTGTGCCAGACACTGATAAGCACTTTACAATTATTACTTCGTTTGATCTTTACAACAACTCTGAGAGGTAGGTGCTATTGCTATCCTTATTTTACAGAAGAAGAAACTGAGGCAACCAAAGGTTAAGTGACCTGCCCAGGACCATACAGCTAGTAAGTGTGTGAGGCCAAATTTAAACTCAGGTGTTCCTAATTCAAGGGCAGATGTTCTATTCACTACACCAACTAGTGCCCTCAAAAAATCATTGGAAATTTTGGGAAGAATGATTTCCATAGAGATGATAAGGCCAAAAGCCAGACTGTAGAAAGTTAAGAAGCGAGCGAGAGGAGAAGTTTAGGCATAGAGTATAGAGAGCTATCATAAGGAATTTAGACCTCCCCAAAAGGGAGGACAGATATGAAATGATAACTAGCAGAGAGAGATGAACCAAATGAGGAATTTTTGAAGACAGGGAAGACATGGGCATGGGCATAGGCAATAGTGAAGTAGCCTGTAGACAAGGAAAGTATAGATAAGTGAGAAAGAAGGGATCATGGAAGAAGCAATGTTATGGAGAAAATAGTAGGGAATAGAATCACTTGTGCATATCGAGAGGATTTCCTTAGCAAGAAGAAGTGTCATCTCTTCATGTGAGATAGGGATGAAGGAGAAGATGGTGGAAGACAACATGTGGGTGATGTGAGATAAGGAGGAAGGGAGAATAAGGAGCTCCCCAGTGCATTAGCAGAAAAAAGGGAGACAGCACTGCAAGGGGCCCCAGTCAGACAAACACCCTGCAGCACACATCTAAAAGGAGCTGAAGAAAGCTAAAGGAAAGGAAAAGCAGACAATCTAGAATTGCCTGAAAGTTCCAGCCTTGTTGATTCCAGCCCAACACGAGGTAAGCTGCCTACAGCCTCCAATTGCCAACATAAGAGGCCCCAGCACACAAAGCCAGTGACCAAGACCTAGGCTCCCAACACAAGAAGCTTGGGTCAGTGCCCTCTGTTCCCCAGCAGGAGAGCTCAATCTCTTTAAAGGCCAGGGAATAAAGAAACACCATGAGTAAAAAGAAATGTACCATAGATTCATATTATGAGAAGAGTGAAGACCAAGACAGAAATTCTGAAGAGGACGACACTGTCAGCAAACCCACATCTGCAACAACAAAAGGGAATATGAACTAGTCTGAAGCCCAAAAAGCCTTCTTAGAAGAGCTCAAGAAGGATTTTAAAAATCTGATGAGAGAGGTAGAAGAGTCCTTAAAAAACTGAATTGGCCAATTGGAAAAAAAGTACACTGAAGAAAACAAGTCCCTAAAAAACACAATTGGCAAACTGGAAAAAAAGTACACTGAAGAAAACAAATCCCTTAAAAATACAATTGGCCAATTGAAGAAGGAAGTACAAAAACTAACAGAAGAAAACAATCTGTTAAAAACTAGAATTGGACAAATGGAAACTAATGACTCTATGAGAGAGCAAGAATCAGTCAAACAGAAACAAAAAAATGAAAAAATGGATGAAAACATAAAATACCTCATTGGTAAAACAACCAACCTGGAAAATCAATCCAGGAGAGACAATTTAAAAATCATTGGACTACCTGAAAATCATGATGAAAAAAGAGCCTGGACAGTATCTTTCAGGAAATCATAAAGGAAAACTGCCCTGAAGTCCTAGAACCAGAAGGTAAAATAACCATAGAAAGAATACATGCTCACCACCTGAAAGAGATCCCAAATTGACAACGCCAAGGAATATAATAGCAAAATTCCAAAATTACCAGATGAAAGAGAAGGTGCTGCAAGCAGCCAGAAAGAAACAATTTAAATATCATGGAACCACAGTCAGGATTACACAGGACCTTGCAGCTTCTACATTAAAAGACTGCAGGGCATGGAACATGATATTCCATAAGGCAAAGGAGCTTGGATTGCAGCCAAGGATCAACTACCCTGCAAAAATGAGCATGATTTTCAAGGGAGGAGATGGATATTCAACAAATAGGGACTTCCAAACCTTCCTCATAAAAAGACCAGAGCTCAAAAAAAATTTGATCTTCAAGTACAAGATTCAAGAAAGACATAAAAAGGTAAATGGGACAGAAAGATACAAAATGTTGTTAATAAGGGTGGACTGTTTACATCCCTACAAGGGAAGATGACACTTGCAACTCTTGAGAACTGTATTGTTATTACACCATGTTAAAGGAGTATACATAAAGGGGGTGGATATTAGTTGACTTTGATGTAATGAAAAAAAAATCTAATCAAGTGGGTTAAATGGATCCAAGTAAGTGGATTAGTCTGATCTTAGAAAATGTACTGAGAAAGGAGGAGGCAGACAAGGGTAAATTACATTACAGGAAAAGACAGAAAATCCTA